TAAATAGAAAGAGAGGTCCCAAAGTACATTTGAAAATGCAGTGCTTTTGTTCCCCCCCCCCCCCATATATATTTTTATTGACTTCAGAAAGGAAGAGGGAGATTTAGAAACATCAATGAGAGAGAATCATTGATCGGCTGCCTCCTGCATGCCCCCTACTGGGGATCAAGCTTGCAACCCAGGCATGTGCCCTTGACTGGAATCGAACCCAGGACCCTTCATTCCACAGGCTGATGCTCTATCCACTGAGCCAAACCAGCTAGGGCTTTTTCTTTCTTTCTTTTTCCCAGACTAATCATTAGTGACCTTGGTATACAGAGTACAGCATTTAACTTAGTGACTTGGCTATAAATTGTAATGGAAGGCAGTTAGGTATAGCAGAATAAAATGCTAAGATGAAACTACTATTTGAGCATCAACTAAAATGTGGTCCTCTGGAGTTATTTTATTTTTTTATTGATTTCAGAGAGTAAAGGAGAGGGAGAGAAACATCAATGATGAGAATCATTGATCAGCTGTCTCCTGCAACTCCCCCCTACTGGGGATTGAACCTGAAACCTGGGCATGTTCCCTTGACTGGAATCGAACCCAGGACCCTTCAGTCCACAGATTGATGCTCTATCCACTGAGCCAAATGGGCTAGGGCCCTCTGGAGTTTTATTTGTTTTTAGCAAGGAGAGCACTTGATAAGCATTTCTTTGGTACAAGTACTGCACTAGGCAGACACGGCAAGATCCCTGCTTCTAAAACTAGCCTTTCAGGAGAATCTCCTGGGGAGCTTTTGAAACATAAATATTCACGACTAGCACTACGATCTTGGGCAAGACAATTGTGCCTGGAGAATTTTCTGGATCATTTCCTCATTTCAGTTTACTTTCTCACCCCCCCTCCCCCCCAACACACACACACCTAAAACACCTCACCCCTTGTGGGAAGGATTAACCTGAAATAGTATAGAGATCTGAGCACTTTTCCCCAACTAGTAGCTGCCTGCGGGTGATGGAGATGTCCCCTGAGGGAGGGAAGCCTGGTGACCAGTCTTTGCACCTCCAAGCCCACAAGAGCAAAGAAAACCTGCAAACTGTCAGAGTGCCAGTCACCTTGGTCACCTTCCCCAGGAAGGCCGGCCTTGAAATGTCGTGGAATTCACTGCTGGCCTCTGACTTGCCTCAATTCAGGATCACAAAACATGCTTTTATCAACATTACAATTTCACAAAGAACATTTGACGTTTTCCTTCCTCTGGGATTAGTCCCTGAAGAAAAATGAAGCTGCCGATAGCAAACTGCTTTGCTTGAATGGAAACTAGATCAATGCGGATTCGACGTTGAGATAACAAGAGTGTGTGTCCCTCCTTTTCCTCTCACAGCTCACTTTGTAGGTCACTGTGCAGACTGTACCACCAAGTGAAACTCGAGCTATTTTCTGTTTGGGAAGACTAAGACTTTATAAAACTTCATGGCAAAACAATGTTTGTCAAGTGTGCGTTCAATAGTTTTACGGGGAAACCAAAGGGCTCATGGCTCTTTGCAGGATTAGCACTCCCATCATGTGCATCGCCTGCTTTAAAAACGGGCAACAGAAATGCCCGCGGGCAGAAGGCCCCAGTTAACAGTCATCATAGAGAAAGGGCAGAAGGTAAATTAAAATAACAAGCAAACAAACAAACAAACAAACAAAAAGAAAAATGAAAAGAAGAAAAGGAAAATACCTTGAAAGCACTTTTTCCATAGGAAAAAAATATTTTATTTTTTTAAGAACAAATTCGGTTTGAAACAGACGTGGAACGTGACTCACGGATTTCATTGTCTGGGGCTAACTGCAATGTGGAACTAAAGCAGACTGAAAACCTATGACAGGCTATGAAAATAAAACAAAGAAAGAAAAAAATATTTATAACTCAAGCATAATACTGTGTTACTTACAAATTGGACAACGAAATTTTAAATAAATATTCATGGTACATAATTACGGCACAAATATGCAGCAATTTGGCAACCTTTTATACCATTTTTTTTCCTCATTACAGTGCAAAGGGGAATGACACTGCCGTTTAACAAGCTGTAGCTAAATACATTGCAAAATTCAGATTTTATACAAAACATCTTGCTTAGACTTTATAAAAAACCAACATTGCTCTATGTACACAATCTGGGTAAGAAAAGCCATTTCTGTCTTGTTTGCATGTGTATTTTTATTAAAAAGGTGAATAAGGCTACTGTAACACCCCAAATCCATATACAGTAAAATCTGGACCTATATACAGCATCTTCACTTAAACATTATGGTGCAAATTCCAAAGTCGGGTGACTACGGATGATAATACAAGCAAGGCATTTACAGTAACTTTCCAAAGCTGAACCAACTTCAAATAAAGGGACAGTTGGTAGATTGTCATATTCTGCACCAGACACAAAACAGACGCACGGAACACTTTTCAATTGGTCGCAGGTAACTCTTCATCAATTCATCTGATTTTTCACAGTTTAGCATGTAACCAAAATGTAGCCAACTGATGATACACACATTTGATTTCATTACAATCAGACTATTTCCCATTTTTCCCCTTCTTGCCCCTCTCCCCCATACTAAAGGTAATTTTTGATGGCTTACAAGAAAATCTTGTATGAATGCACATAAAGGAGAAGGTTGGGGTGATGGAAAGAATTACATATGTACTGTGGCTGGTCACCATGGCAACCTTCCACAGAAATATGATATAGATATATATAATATATATTGCAGATATATATTATACATATATGTACACATGTATACCACACACCCACTCATACATACACACACGCACTTTGGACCAACATCATTTTCAGGTTCAGAAAATAGAGAAGAATAATTTCTGCTGCAACTCATTTTTGCAGGTATTCACTGAAGGTTCGAGAACCTTAAAATGCTGTTGCTAGTTTTTGTTTTTTTTTCTCCCAATTCAGAAAGCAACGTGTTACCATAGAAACAGGACTATGTTAAAGATGTCTATTTTGCATAGCACATAAAAAGTAGGTTTCCTGTTTACTCATTTTGTTTCCCAAAAGGGAGGGTTTGGGGGTAGGAGGAGGGAGGAGGGAGCTAAAGTCAAACTTTCGGCTGAACCGCCCCCCCCTGGATGTGACCCGGTGGATTCTAGTGAACACTTCAGCCATAAGGCAAGGGAAAACACAACACAGAAAATAAATGCCGGAACATCTTGTCATTGTTAAATATATGATGCAGTAACATCGATTTCCTGGTGTTCGGGGCTTGCATTTCCTAGTCTACAGTTACGTGAGACGCCTTCAGAGGACTTGGTTATTTTTGTATTTGCTCTCATTATTGTTATTTTTGGAGTGATGTTGTTTTTCCCAGAAGTAGCTGTCCAATTTTTTTTTTTTTCCTTTTGTAAAGCACTGAGCATTGGGACCACTTAATTGCCACAAGTGAATTTCACATCTTCTGGTGTACATTGTGTGCAATCTTAAAATATATATTAGTAAAAATCTTTCACTTTATATCCCTTGTGTTCTATACACCTATTATAAATACATCCTATCCTCCTTCTCCCCCTCGATATCATAATTTATTTCCATCTTAAGGACTCTAAGAGGTTTGCCATATGTGCTTCACCTTGACCCAGAGCACCTGCACTTGGCCTTGCTCAGTACCTACGCCGCGGTCCCCGCAGCCCGGACAGCACCGCCATAAACCAAAGTGTTATAAGGCTCGATCGGGAGGAGGGGTGGGGAAGGGGCTTTGGGGGGACAGGGGAATCTGACCTACCTTTTACATGAGAATTCTTTAATAATGTTAATGATGATGGAATTACAGCCTGTTTGACCTTTGGCTTTTAAACTTCTAGGTCAGATTTGGCTCTCTGCTCTTCTTCTAAATGCTTTCCCTGTGTTTAATAAAATGTGATAAGTATAGCAGCTGAGTCTGCTTTAGACATCATCCAAAGCAGACCGACTTTCCTACAGCCTCGGAGCTGTACATCTTATTGCCAGTACCACAACAGTCCTGCGGGATCTCTCCCCGCCCCGCCTTCTCCCTTCCCTCGCCAGGCCTGTTCCTCTACCAACAATGACCCTTTGTTCCACCCAGTGAAGAGGGATTCTTCTTTTCCTGCAAGTTGCTATTTGATAAGAGTGAATTCCTTCCAATGCACCCTAATCCACTGTGTGTGTGTTGCTGTGTCTCCTACTTGCCTCTTAAAATCGTAGTGAAACCAAAGTGCTGTGCTACCTAATTGGGTCCCCCGCACCCCCCTTTCCCAACTTTCTGTTTCAGAGGCAGCAGCGTTGAATTGTGTTCGCAGACAGCCCTTTCCCCCTTCCCCCCGCCCCTTCCACCGGCTCCCAGTCTTCCTCGCTGGCAGCCTAGTGTCTGGCTGGAAGGCTCCTTCTTAGCAAACACAATTTCTAGAAATGTATCATATTATTATCCATTCGACTGTAGCTGTTTGTTGCAAACGGATGGAGTAGGAGACCCCCAACGTGAATGTTCCATTAGTGATGCAGAACGTGGCGTGAGGGGAAATCACATGGGAAGTACGGCAGAGCCCTGGATAACGGGCGTGTGCAACCGTGAGGCCTAAACGCTAGCGCTCTCTGCAAGCCCCGCCGAGCCAGAGGTCTATGCGACACACGTCGAGGGGCACACCCGAGGCAGAAGACGGCGTTTCCAGGCGGGGCATCCCAGGGCATCTAAGCCTAGGACGCTCAAGGGCTCTCTCGTGTCCACCCGCCACGGTCTTCCCTTGGCTGCGGTGCAGGCCTGAGTGACCGCGGCACATGGCTTCGAGGAGGACAGGGGTGAGGCGAGCGCCGGTCCCCACGGGCGCCTTCTACACAAGTCTTCCAGCTGTCGGTGCGCATCTGGATTCACCACGGCCGAAACGCTACAGACTAGGTAAGCTGTCCAGCTCAACGGGGCCCTTCGGAGAAGGAGTGTCCCCTCCGCCCCCGCTGTGCTTCAGTCCACTCGAGACACAAGGGGTCAGCCGCGCCCCCGCTCCGGGAAAGCGAAGGCACCGCCACGTCTCAGACCTTGTAGTAAATGTTCGCGGGGCTCTGGGGGGGCATCTCCTGGACTATGTACACGGGGTGCCCGTAGTCCCCGCTGACCTTCTCGTAGTGGGGGCAGAAGACACTGTCCGCAGTCCTCAGAGGGATGATAATGTCACTGGGCTCTGAGCCGTTGTTGTTGCCGCCGCGCTTGGGGGTGGCCAGCGTGCTGAGCGACAGCGTGGCCGTGTGCTGCGGCGAGTGCTTGCGGTGCCTCCGCCGGTACTTGAGCAGCAGGACCACCAGCGTGATGATGATGACGATGAAGATGATGCATCCTGAAGCAATCCCCGCGAATAAGGCCACTTCGGAACCGAGGATATTGTTCCCGGAATGCCCGGCGCTGTTGCCGTCGGTGCTGGAACCTGCAAAGGCGGAGAAAGCACCACAACCGTTAGCGCTGTCCCAGCTGCTGCTCGTAGGACCCTGGGAAGCGAGGACATGAAGCGGGGCCGGAGCTTTAACGGGCGGCTAGGCTTTGACAAACCAATTACCTCGGTTAATAGCTAAACGGAAAAGGCAGAAGTCAGCAATCGATGTGAAAGGAGATGTGACTCGAGGTCGGATTTTCATGCTGCTCTCAAATCACATCGTTCCCTTTTCATACATCATCATCCGTCCGCTGCCTGGATGGGCCGTGACAGCCAGCCCTTGATCTTGCTTCACGCCTGAACCCACGTCAGCCAGCCTGCGGCCACAGCAGGCGCCTGGCTGTCAGTGTCTGCTGCCCACGCTGCACTGCCTGCTTTCCTCCAGGAAAGGTGGGTTCCCGGGAATCCAAGCCGCCTGCCTTCTCCAGACAAGCCCCGCCCACTGGCAGAGCCGCGCAGGCAACCCCAGCAGCGATGGGGCCTGGGAAAATGTTCAACTCCTCACTCGTTTGTATTATTTGATTTACACTTAAAATATATTTGGAAGGCAGCAGAAACTCTCATGCTGAACAGACTGCCAACCCAAATGTGAAGCACTAAAAAATTGCCTGGCATCATTATATTACCCATTTATCAGTTTGTCACAAGAATTTGACACATCTTGTCACTGAAAGTTAGAAATAACAACTTCCCTCCTTGACGCTTGGAAAGAGATGGAATATTGCTACAGATGCTAAATTCACACGACTACCAACCAGGCGTACGGATCCCTAATACAAAACTGCTGAGGTCTGCTCAACCACTTCCATATAAAAAAAAAAAACTCATTAGCGTGGTAACAAATACATAGCTGTTTGTTCAGACTGTTAAGAAAATGAAGTTAAATGACAGCCAATTTTATCTGGTATTGTAAACTTTTGCCAGGGATCTGTTTAATATTTTATATTACACTGACTATGTAAAAAAAGTTTTTTGATGATAATCACCTGAAAAACACAGCATTATGTAATATTTTAAGATGTTGCCATCTAAAATGTAGAAGAGGATCATTCAGGCTCTTTGTGGATTAGATATAATTAGATGAGGGATTAGGACATTAATTATATATACATTAGCATCGGCTTTAAGCTAGTGTTGCAACCAGCACAATAAAGTGCCGGCCAATGAAAATAACTTTGTTCTGAGAAAATAGTGCTAATAATTGGCACTTACATCTGATGAATTCCACTCTTCCGATTGGAGGACTTTTACAGGAATGAATTATTTTGTTCTTACTGAGCAATTAACAACAGCTAACTGAGAGCAAAGATTACTGACTTCAGTAACTACGAGGTAATCCTACTGGTGTAGAAGTACTTTGACTCTGCTCTACCTCTTGAGATACTAAGTGTACGGTGCACACAGACTACACACACAGTCATGCTGCTATACCTGGATTTGGTTTGACAAAGGGACTTGTTGTTGAGCTTCTTCCATTTGTACCAGCTTCTAGTTCTGTACGTCTTGTTGGATCATTATGCCTGGTTGACCCAGCAGAACTCGCATCTATATGAAAAACAAATGATTACTTACCGCACAGACATCTGATAAGATCTAGCTTTAGGATCTGGATATATATCTCAAGAGGCATGAATAGCAATGAACATAAGATTCTTTATGCAAAGGACTACGAGGTACAAGAATATAATGTTCCTTTTAAAACAAAACGGTTATACTAGTTATTTCAGAGGTTTAGATTGGGAGGCCATCTGTGGAAACTATAGGGATTCTTGCATTTGGCAGGCAGAGCATTGCAGATGACATTTCAATTTAACTGAGCAAGTTGATTGACTACTATACCAATTTCTAATTAGAAGAGTAATTCGTTCTGCACAATAGGTTATCTATATGTGAAAAGGCTCAACAAACAATAGTCCTCTGTAGTCAAGATGCAGAAATGGGCAAAACTGCAGAAACTTAGTTTTCTTTCTGGATATTTTAATTTTGAACCATAGAGGTGGTTTGCTTTTGAGAAGAAAAATATACATACACGTATATGGCAATAGACATTCTACCTGGCTGACCTTAACTTTTACCTCCAATAAAAGAAATCTGTTACAGTGACTTGAGGAAATCTCAGTGGCTCAAGGTACAGAGAAAGGTTTGCTTTCAAAACTAAACTGAAGAGTGACTGAAGGCGAGTGTTAGCAATACTGGTGCCACGCTAGCTGGGGGGCTCAACCAGATTACAGTGGCTTCATGAAGCAGCAGATGGTCTTTACCTTGTCCAACTTTCATGAGGATCTTCATGGCTCTTGTCTGGCACACCCCTCCCTCCTGGTTATCCAGGCCCTCCAAAGACCCATTTGATGTAGCTGATTGAAAATAAAATGGACAAAACAAAAAAATAAAGAAAAATCAGGAAATCAATAAGCCAACTTTACATGAACATGAAATGTCTGAAAACAATTTGAAAAATAAGAATTCACTCTTAGTCATAAGTTTTCTGAAAGTATGGGATGCTGAAAGTCAAAAATAAAAATAAAAAAGAAAGAAAGAAAAATGGATACTGTCAACACTGCCGCATGTATGCTATCCGGTTTCACATTTACTTAAGCACTTTCTCCTTCCTTCATGACCAAGTGGTTTAGTTAAGAGTACACAGATAAAAGGCACAGCATCTTCCAAAAAAGCTTACTGACTATTTCGGGGTCAGACTCAAAAGAGCAAAGTAGTTACTACGGTAATTTCAAAACGTGGTAATCATCACACAACACCTGCTTCCTCTACTACAGATTTCCTGCTTCAAGAACAATTAGCTTGATGCGCCCTGTTTGTCAAGCATCCAAGTTCTGTAAACACGAAAAGATTCCCACACCCCCTTTTTCTTTCCACAGCCTTCCTCGAGCTTAAAAAGTACTATATACGTCCTAGAATTCAGCTTTTCAAATTCTGAAGTTTGCTCCCCTCATTTTGTAGTCAACTACAAAGAACGAGTGTGTTGTTATTAACTGATGTCAACCTTGGTCAAAGATTCAACCATGCTCCCTGTTTTGGGACAAGTCTGGATGGAGAGAGGGGGATCCACACATCCCACTGCTCTGTTTGGTCCTGGATATAGGGCGAGGGTTCTAGCAGCCACCTATCTCGTTCCCTTTCTATTTCAAGAGGAACAGAAGGAGGAGGGACAAGAACATCTGACCACATTCAGAATTTCCTTTTAAACAATCCATGCTCTACTCCATTTGGACATGTTCTTGTTCTGTCCTTTTAGGACAGTGAGTTCTCTGAATTGCTTTGTAACTAAAGCTGTAAAAAGATAGGCTGCCAGGTACTTTGCTGAGGAACAGGATTTAAATTACAGGTCAAGTTCCAGAAGAGAAAAGAAGGTGGGGAGTGCTAGACATTTTCATTCCTCCACAGTTCAAGGGGCAAGGAACAGAAGTGTTTCATAATACACTTCTGCAATGTAAATCATTCTCTACTTTGATTATGAAAGTCTTCTCTACTAACATTATATATTTAAAGGCACAGAAAAGGGGACAGACTTTCTGATAAAAATAAACCCAAAAGACATTTTTAAAATGGGCTGTTTGTTTTTCAAATGGTGGGTGGGCCAGCAAACAAATTCTGGATGCGTGTATAGAAATATGCGTGTCATGGATAATTATATGAACTGGACAATAAGACACTTATTTACTTGTCTCTGTATTCTTGAGTTATCGACTTTTACTTTCATGGCTTTCCTTAAAAACAATGGCCACCTCTTGTATGTATAAATATCTCTTTGCTTATCTGAGTGTTTCCTTAAAGTTCTCAGTCTCACAATCATATCTCACTCTTCTGCTATTGCTGATTCTGATTTTCTCCTGGGAAACTGGGCAAAAGTTGCCATAATAATTTTAGGGGATAGAAAGTAGGTAGTAGCCTCTTGCAGATTGTTAAGAAAATGTGTGGCAGCAAAGCTAAAATAAATACTTAAAAACTAAAAAATATGAATCTAAATAAATCATCTACCCCCCCCCCATTTCTTCATTTTTCTCTTTCCCCTTTCCCTTCTCCAAAACGGTGCCTAAATTTCAAAGTTCCTTTTTCTCTTAAAGACCTAGAACAGTATGGATATCTATGGATATCTATGGATAAATATAGAGCAGTGTTATAGTTTTTTTCTTAATTATTTAGAGCTTTCTCATTTGATCTTCCTCAAAAATTAAAATATGTTTTCATACAGAAAGAAACTAGAAAACTAATGTCTTTTTTCTGGCTGCTGGGTTTACTTAGTTCAAGTGAAATCTCTGTTTTCAAATGCATACACACATAAATGCACCCACAGGCAAATTTACCCAAACTCAAAGATAAATGACTTTTTCTTGTTTAACACTAAGCTGGCAAGTGATAAAAATAGGAGCTGAAGGGTGCTGTGCAGAAAAAAAAATAGGAAAAATATAGATTTATTTCAATCTTGAGAAGGAAAGGTCAAAGATTTAGGTCTCAAAGGAAAAAAAAATGAACAGCAGAAAGGGTAAGACAAGGCAGGGCACAGAAGAGTCACTGGCAAATAAAATTAAAAACGACATCTGCAGAGGTAGAAACGAGGTAACTACTTCTACTCTGTCACCCTGGAAGCACAAGAGATGCCCATAATTGCAGTGACTTTTTCTTTAGATTTTATTTGTAGCTCAATGCCTTTCCTCAATACCAAAGACTGTGCAGAGCTCCCTTGGGTCCAGATAACCCCCAAACATAAAGAACGCTAAAAGTATTCAAATTAAATTGCGATCTATAATTTAGCATCCACAGACTATAAGATGGCAGGAAGAACACTGTGAGAATGATAGTGCGTTGTGCCCTGAACAGTTGAAATTTTGTGTATTCCTTGGGGAGAAAGAAGCCTCTAAGCCCTGTTGTTGCAGAGAGGGGAACCCATGGATGCTACCCTGGCAGAGGTCTTACTTAATTGAAGCTACTGCTGATGGTGGAGGGTGGGGGTCAGTGGGGAGAGTGGGGCTGAAGGGGAGAGCTGGCCAAGAGGCAAAACACTGTGAGTGAGGACAGTTTTTCTCCTACATTCTGCTTCATTCCACTTTAAGTCAACTTGGAAGTTGCAAAAGCTACTGGAAGACATTGAAAAATTCATTACCAATGTTAAAACAGCACAGGAACACTTGGCTATTTAAAAAGGGGCTAACCATTGGGGGGAAAGGAGACATATGTAAAACTTGACAATATAAAAAAAAAAGAATAAAAAAAAATACGGGGCTAACTTTTAAAATACAGTTAGATATTCTGCCATGAAAATATTTTTGCCCTAAATTAGGAATGACCTAAATTGTCACAGAAAACCCTGCTTTAAGATGTTACTACCAACTGAAATTTCAGCAGGTAAACTTTATAGCAAGCATAAAATAATTCAGAGTAACCTCAACTTATTTTATGTTGGATCCCACAGTCCAAATTGACCTACTTCCTCTCTACTACTTCCTCATGGGGAGGGTAGGGGGTGTGGTTCTCATTCTAGGGGACTCCCTACCCCCACCTTGAGAAATTGCAGAGGCAAGTGGCCTGCCCTGATTGTGCGTGCCCCTTGGCTGGCAGAGAATGCTGAAATAAAGCCACAAGCCCCGTCGTCGGCTTTCTCCTGCAACAGCCAGTTACCAAGAAGCTTTAAAAGGTTGAGTGGCTGACTTTGAAAAACAACAAGAGACTGCTTACGCGTGGGAATAAAATCTATTTCCATTTCAGAGGAAACGGAATTATTTTTATTGCAATTATTTTTATTATTGATTGGAATGTATTGGGGGAATTTTTAACATAAAGGAAGTAAAAATAAATTGTTACCTCATTCTACATTGTTTTTCTTTGTATCTCTCTACAAGCATGATCTAATCCCACCACAATCAGAATTACTAAATGGATAAAATTGCACTGAATCATTTAGAGACAGAAAAATAACATGGTTATACCTAAGCTTTTTAGGCCCCAGACATTTTTGTTCCTTGGCCCAGGGTAAAAAAAAAAAAAAAAAAAAGACTTTATAAAATTAAAAATTACTAGAAAAATTTCTCCATGCAGTTAGCAAATCGGTTTAATAAAAATACATGGCCATTTTATAGCCTGCTTTTAAAAGCTTTTGCTTCAGGGATCTAATTGCATGTACTGAGTATACTGAAAGCACTATATTGTTCCCCCAGGGCCTGGTTTTCAGTGGGTGGAGATCATTGCTCAGCAAAAAAAGTACCCTGAGTTCACACTGCCTAAAAGTCTTCTTCATATTTTAAAACTACACAGACAACGTCTGTGGTTTCCCATTAATTTGCACATGAACTTATCTGCAGTTTCTGCTCACTGGGAATAGTATACTGGTTATCTGAGTAGAAAAACAGAGCACCAGTGAGTAAAGCAGACTGAAAGGGCAAGAATATTCTGGCCGTGTTTTTTAGACTGTGACCAGGGAGAGGAAGTAATATTGCACTTAAAACATGTCTTCATTAGGCTGTTATTGCTCTGCACCCAGGAGGCTAAGCTGCTGCACTGGATCTTGGCTGTTTTTTAGTCCATCGTATCCATAATGTTGTGTTAATCAGATGGAGAATTCAACTGCTGGATTGGTGCTGATATATGGGTCGCATTCACAAAAAGGTTAGAAATGAGGGCAGCACAAAAAAATCCTACAGAATCATAGCTTCACTATGAAGGAAAATTCTTAGGTTATAATGGAAAGGATGAATCATCAACATATACTAATGCTTTGCAGAATATTTCAAACTACTCTAAAATGTAGCTTATTGCGATGGGGCTGGGTGGGTTAGGGAGATGGGTGGACACTCAAAAGCAAATATTTTTATTAATTTCTGGCCCAGGGTAAACCAAAGAGAGAGAGAGAGAGAGAGAGAGAGAGAGATAATATGTATACAGGGTCAGGAAAATCTGAGTTCAGTTTTCTAGCAAGAATGAACACCTTGTCTTTCTATAAAGCTTATGCATAACATAGTCACTCTTATTTGAGTATGAAACAGCATTTTATGAGCATTCTCAAAATCACCCTCTTTGCCCTTACTCTCCTTTCTACCACGTCATCATATGCTGGCCCTGCTAATTTTGATTTCTTAGACCAGCCTTCCTACACACTAGTCTCCTTAAGCTCAACACAGTCTTCTGAAAACCAGAAGCCTGTTACCTGGCAAACACAGGAACTAAAAGAAGCAGAATCAAGTGAGGGATATGGAAAGTAAAGCCAAGACATTAAAATAAACATGGCACTGAGACAAGGCTACTGTTTTCCTCTACCAGGACTAACGACTCTGAGTGTCTAAAAGAAAAAAAAAATGGAAATGAGATATGTAAGTTGAAAAACAAGGAGGCTGATAAAAATATA